CCCCCTCCGCCGCAGCCACCTGCGGTCACGTGCCGCCCCGGGGCGGGGCCGGAAGCTGATTCACCCCCAACAGACACGGACGTGGTGCGTGGTCCCGATGGGCCAAAGACCAAGAGCTCCTGGAACGCTGCAGCCCAGAGAGGGACAGTGTTCCTCCTGAGGTCACACAGCGCTCAACAGTTTGGGCACCCCCCTGTTGTCCCAGGGCCTGTGGATGATCCTGCTCCATCCGTAGCTGTGCCCTGTCTTGCAAGTGGGAAGTCTGGGCGGCAAGATACCCAGCTGTCGAGTTGTGAAAGTAGGGTTGGGGTCCTGAGCTGGGAGCCCCCGGGCAGGGATAGGGCACTATCTGACCCCACCTCAGGGGCTTTCACAGAGCAGGTGCCCTGTTCTTGGTCCTGATACTGCTCCCTGCTGGGAGGAGTCCCCCCCACTGGTCCTACATGGTGAGCAGTACTCCGCCTGAACCCTGAGGCAGGGAGGGGCGGCGAGGGCTGCTGTGGGCTGGGGTCAGGCCTGGTTCTCTGCTCCGCGTCCCTGGGGCTTGGGACCTTGGTTATGGGGGGCGTGTGGACCACATCTGAAGGCAGGCTGTCAGGGCGGGACGGCAAAGCCCATTAAACCCGGCTGAACAAACAGCCCCCGCCCCATCGTGTGCCGCAGCCAGTCTGCCAAGGACCTGGGCCAGCCGTCCCCCCGCATCCCTCACCACTCACTCTGGATCTCGGCAGGGCTGGTCTGGGACCCTCAGGACACTCTCTGTGCTGCTGAGGTCTGAGTGGTGACATCTCTAGTCTTCTTGCCCCCTCCACACCTTCCCCAGCACCCTCCCCACCATCCATGTGCTGTCAGACCTCCTTGCGCCTGAGTCTGCTGCCTTAGAGCAGTGACCATTCTCTCACAGGCTCGGCACTCCTGTAGTCCCCATCAGTGACACCTCAAGCCTCGAGTCCTGTAGTCCCTACCATACAGCCCCCACCCTGGCCCCATGGGGGTTTTATGCTGCATTTGAACATAGTGGGCCCAGAGGCCAGTCTCCTGCACAGTCCCCAGCTCCTCCCAGGTACATGCACACATACCTGATCCCCCTACCCAGGGCCAGAGAGAGGAGGTGGCCCAGTGGGAGAGCACTGCCCTGACGTTCCTGAGGCCACCGTGGTCCCCTGGCAAGACTTCTCTGGGCTTCGGCTTCTTCTTTTGCTATTATAGAGACCCTGAGGTTCATGATGGGAGTCCTGGCTGTCAGGGCTGAAAGGCCTTGGGCTCTCCGACCTCTGCAGTTACCTGCTTATAGTTATTCATTCACAGGAAGTTGTAAAAACAAGTGAACAGGGAGGTCGCACACACCCTTCACCCAGTTTCCCCCAATGGTGACGTCTTGCATAACTATAGTACAATAATATCACAGCCAGAAAATTGACAGTGGAATCCACAGAGCTTATTCAGATTTCACCAGTTTTACATGCACTCATTTGTGTGTGTGTACCGATGTGTGCAACCTTACCACATGTGTAGATTCGTGTAACCACCATCACCGTCAACATACAGAACCATCTATCAGCGCAAGGACCTCGCTGTTTACAGCCATATCTATGCACTCCCCACCATCCCTAACCCCTGCCACTGTGGATCTGTTCTCCATCTCTGCAATTGTATCGTTTCAGGAATGCTATATGGATGGAAAATACAGTATGTAACATTCTGGGATCAGCTATTTTTCCCACTCAGCATAATTCTCTGGAGATCCATCCAGAATGTCATATGTATCAATAGTTTGTTCCAGGCCGGCCCGGTGGCGCACTGGAGAGTGCGC